AGAGAGAGAGAGAGAGAGAGAGAGAGAGAGAGAGAGAGAGAGAGAGAGAGAGAGAGAGAGAGCAGACTGAAGCTGAGCAGTGAGCGGGTTGAGCAGCAGGACTACTTCTGTCAGAGCTGCAGGACGTTCCAGTCTCAAGTGCCACTGAGAGCATAGAGTATGCAGGAGGAGCTGGTTGTCCCAGAAGAAAGAAGACAAGAGGCAGGATCTGTCCTCTGAGTCTCGTTTGTGAGGACAACCTTTTCTGACTCCAGGATGATCTATCACCTTCCAAACCAACACAGAGCCTAAAGCTGCTCCATCTGGCTCGGTTGAAATAAATCTTTCGTCCGAAAGAGGAATAAAGAAGAAGAAGGAGAAGAAGAGGGGGAGGAAGAGTCAGTCTATCAACAAAACACGAGAACAATCAGAAAAGTCAGAATTGGCGCCTTTGGGGACTGTTGGATATATTGTACCCTCTGAAAACCAGAAGAAAAAGTGACGCGAGAAAAGAAGGAAAAGGGTTTCATTGTCAGAACAATCACAAGAGGATGTTGGTTTCTGTTGCATCCAGATAAGAGCAGAAGAAGATAATATATAAAGAAAAATCTAGAAAGACAGAAATCCAAACCACAAGTGTGATTTTGTTCTTTTTTTCAAATCCAGAAAAATAAGGAGGATCAAAGCAAAAAGAGAAGAAACAGAAGAGGAAGAAGTTTTTCTGTCATCTTATTAACGATTAAAGATGTTGTAGACCAACATTTGTGTGAACTCTCGGAAGTTTGGAAAAATCGGAAGAAAAAAGAAAGACGGAATATCAACCTGTCCGCTGAAAACAAATGAAGGAAAACATTTTTTTTAGTCGGAAACTTTCAATAAATTATTCTGAAAGAGAAGAACAAAAGCAATCTGAATTTGCAGCTTGGTGAAGATATAGCAGGAAAAGTTCGAGGACCAACTAACAAAGTCAAAGGAAGCTACAGCGACACAGAAGTAAAGAGTCATAAGTGACGAAGTAAAAATACAGAGGAATAAAGGGAAAAGAGTAACGGAGAAAAGAAAAATATCTCGGAAAAGAGAGGAAAAAGAGAGGGTTTAAAGGGGACACCGAGAACAAAAGGAATAATCAAGAGGGAAAAGGATAAACCAAGAGGAAAAGGAAGAGGAAAGAGCGAAACAAGGACAAATCAAAAGAATAAAACAAAACTAAAGAACAAAATTAGTAACAAAAAAGGGAGGACTAAAAGAAAAAGTACTCCAGTTTAAACAATCAGAAGGGTGTGACAATGAGGCTCCTGGTGCTTCTCGCAGCTCCTCTCTCCATCCTCGTCCTCCACGTTGCAGCGGTGGCCCCGGCAGGCGGCGTGGCCCCGGGCCGGCTGGAGCGCTGGGTCCGCTCAGGCCTCCAGTCGCTGCAGAGGGACCAGCTGGACCGGTGCCTCCGCATGTCCTCCCTCTCCGAGACCGAGTGCAGGCGCCTCGCCCACCTGCCACTGTCTGCCGTGGCTGTTTACGTATCGGAGCCACGCACAGCTGCAGGTATGGAGGCCAAAGAAGGTCGAAACATCCCTGGGTTAGTTTGTTTGTGAAAGTTTGGTGTAGTTTGTAGCAGTTGATGTAAGGCAGTCCACTGAGAAAAAAACATCGTTGGGTCAGGTTCATTACATGGTAACTTTGTAATTAGTAATGTAATCTGTATAGGATTATAAAAAAGTAAATTTATATGAATACTTTTGGATTACTTCCACATCAAACACTGAAAATATTGATTCATAAAAAAAAGATGGACACAGCCACAAAAAATCTGAGTTGCACGAAAATTCTTTTTTTCTCTTTAAACATCTTAAATGCAACTAAAATGCATTTTTCATATTCAGCATTTACAGTTGGTCAAATCAAGTGAACATTACAAAAACATGCTGGCATAACAGTACATTTTAAATATGTAATCAAAAATGTAATCAAGTCCTTGACAATGGAAATATAATCTGATTGCACATTTTTTCAAATGTAATCTGTGCAGATTATATTTATCTATTTATTTTAATATGAATAAGTAATCACACTCATATGTAAGGTTAGACACACCAGGTGAATAGAGTGAAAAAAATGAAATGATATGCTTAAATATGCAAATGAGGCATACTTTTATCCAATATGCCCTAATTTGCATACTTTTCCAGAACAGAAATGGATAAAGCCAGATTCAAAATTCTTGTTTCATTTTGTTGACATATTAGAGTCAAAGACTTTCACAGACGAGGTTTTAGATATCTAAATATGCAAATGAGGCATTATTTAATGGTAACCTTTAGTGAATTTAGGAGAAATCTACAGACACAAATGGAAGTAGTAAAATGAACAGCTAAATGTGTATCTTGGATCTTTCCACTAGTCTAAAGAAGACATACGTGTTATATATGTTGTATAGTCAAACTATTTTAAGATGTGTTTGTATGCCATGTTTGAGGAAGGATTACAAAGAATATATTTTCTGTTGATAATGGAATACAGAAGCGGGATAATTGACTCAATGCATTTAAATCAGTCAAAAGAATCCAATAAAAGAGACTGGTTCAGTGATCAATATGATTGACGGGAGCAATAGTCAGTTCACCGCCTGAGAAAGAACAACTGAAACTCAGTGTGAATATATTTTTGTTTGATAAGTTCCCTTTTGTTGACTTTAGTAACACACTATTGTTCCTAAACCTCAAAGGTAACTCACACAAAGTTCTGGCCATCCTGCCGGACTCCTCGGGTGGCTCCGTGAGCTCCAAACCACGGGGAGGTTTCGGTGTCGGCCAGGTGCTGAATGGAGGTCACCACAGACAGCAGCAGTCTTTCCCCGGCTCCACGGCCCATGATGCCGTGCTGGTGCTGGATCCGAGCCCCGGGGAGAACTTTGGACACCCGGTGGTCCTCTTCTATGTGGATGTGAATGTGACGAAGAAGAGATGCACCCACCTGGATGGCATTTACCTGGGTGAGTCAGCAGACACCAAGGCATTGGTAACTTTGTTTAAATTACTCATTACATGCAGGTTTATTTGGCTGTTAGATGGAAAAAAAATGTTTTTGGATGCAATAACAAACCTTAAAGTGTCTGTCTTTAATGTGTCTTACCTTTGTATTAAAGACATGTCTGTCAATTTGGAACACTGTCTCCTACAAAATTACATTTCCATACAACTAAACTGCACCCTAGAACTCCATCTAAAAGTAATGTTAATTAAACAAATACAGTTTTCCTGGTATAAAGATAGTCTGATGGTGCTAAAGACCTTCAAGAGACTTAAGGATGTCTTGCTTACACCTGCGTCCTCAGCACGTCACCAATTCACTGAATAAAAACAAGACTGGCCAGGCAAGCCTATGTGAGCTGGAACACTGGTCACAATTTGTCACATTCACAATTAACATGACTGCGCCAGTCAGACTTCAACAAAAACAAAGATCAGTCCAAGTTGGGAGGGGCCGCTGGTATCCCCCTTCAATATTGAATGCATTAGATTGGCCCAGTCTGACAGGAGTGTGTTTCCGCTCTGTGCTGTCTGCGGCTGCGAAACCAGGCTGGCTCATGCCATGGCCGAGAACCATACAGTATACCACTGACTTCCCAAACTTCCGAATGGCCAATGAACTCCTGGGAGAGGCAGTAATAGCAGCTCGAGAAGAAGTAAAAGTTATAGTAATAGTAATCTCTAATGAGGTGCACAGGGGTCGAGTCTTGGTCCATTACAATTGCCGTTGTTCATAATAATAATCATACCTCCAAATCAGCATTCAATGTCCATCTTTATGCAGATGATACACTTGTATATGTCCCTGGGTACTCTCCAACCCAGGCTCATCTTCGGTATGCCTTTGATGCTTTCAAATTTTCACTGAACATGTTTTGAATGCCAACACATTCTCACACCAAAATAACCTCAAAAAATGCAGCTTGGTCAGTAGCAATTGGCTACAAATTATGTGACAACAGTCACATGCTTTACGTGCCCCTCTAGCGTCAGTTTTGCTCATGTCAGTGACAATGTCTCACAAAAACAGGCAACAATTACATGTTACACGCCTGGTAAACGTTAACATGACGACTCATGTGACTGCCAAGTGACTAACGACTCGCGTAACGAGTGACTAACGAGTCACGTGACCAGCAACACGGTTGCAGTTGCTCTGCACGTAAATGTAATCGTATTTAAAAGCTTTACTAACAGTAATAGTAGATGTAGTAGTAATATTAGGTTTCCTGAAAGGTCCACATGCCTGTTTCTGTTCTTTCTGTGTGATTATTCATTTTAATTTGAATCAGTAGCACCCAATGTGCATGCATCTGTGTACATATTTAGGGTGTGTGCGTGTAAAGCTCTGCATTTAACTGAAGCAGAAGAGAAAGTCAAAGTTGGATGTGCGTGGTCTCACCCTCTGAAAGCTCCATTTATAGCTCATTGTGTGATGCTGGACACTTTTCCGCTCAGTGGGGGTCCGACCCAGCTACATCTTCAGCACTTTTTGCCCCACAGCAACATCTGATATATCTCTGTCTCTGTGTGTGTGTTTGCAAGTGTGTGCTTGCACTTCTATCTTTGTGAAAAGGGTTAGACTTAGAAAGAGAACATTTGCAAGGTCAGAATATTGATCCTCGCTCCTTTATGGACTGTTTCAGCTGCCGCTTTCAGTATTGAGTCTCTTTAAAATTAGGTTTGGATTAAAAGATAATTCCAGTTTAGCTACAAAATGACCAATGGTGTTCTCAAACACTGTTAGTAGCTATACCTATGAAAGGATATGCACTAGTATACATCCTTCTTAATCAAGTCATATGACATCCCCATAATTGTGAGTGATAAAGCCCACGTATGGAGGTGGTCGAGGTGCTCAGGTGGGTAAAAAAAAAACACAGGACTTTCACCAAGGACACCACTGTTTAGGATATGTTGGGGTAATTCCAATGACGGGTGAATCCAATAATGTCCTATATGTTTCATCTTTAATGTTTTCACATGTTTTTTTTGTTATAAAACGATAATCTAACTATATTTATATTTTGTCTAAATGCAGCTTTTGAGGACTTACTGTAAACTTTGGTTAGTTGGTGGCATTTTCAACCACGTACTAAATAACAACTTTGCACTTGACAGCAGAAATGGAAAGATATGTCACTGCTGCATCGAGAAACTGCCCGTCGTTAACAAAATGCCGTGAGTGATTACAGAGAGATTCAGGAGGAGACAGGCAGTTCTTCCGTGACACTACAGTGAGAGTATTTTGGTCATATCTGTAAAAGGGTTGACAATCAAACATCGCGTTTCTAAAAAGCACCACTTTTGGTGGTGGCCAACATCTTTACTGCGGATAAAAGGCCAAAAGTGAACGTAAAAGAAGTGTTTCCAAAGTGCTTCATTCATGTAGAAATAGTCCAAGGGGACATTTATTCTGTGATGGTCCTCACAAGTCCTGCAAAAGAGACGTGTTTGAAAGTGCAAGTTGTTGACTTCCCGCTGTGAGAGCGGTTAGGGCCAGATGCTAAGGTGAATTTGGCCCCGTGCTACACGAACACACACCTGTCAATTATTCATACACACACAAACACACAGCACTGTGCCCCCTGCTGGGTCCTGCAGATGGTTTTGGACCAAAGTCTTTTAAAGTGAAACTTCCTTTAGACCCCATTTAACCTGGTGAGGGCAGGAAGAAAGAGAGCTGTTGAGCTGAATTTGATTCAGTTACAATGATACAAAGGTGCCAATGCTCTCCAACTCTTTACTCTTTTTTTATGTTACGTTTACATGTTCCCACTGACCTCTAGCCATGCTGATCATGGTCAGATTTACTTGTTAGGGGACCCTGGACCATAATGATACACTATTTAAATTACATTTTGACCTTTTCAGCTGAGAAGAGGAGGCCAAGCTGACAGTGATGGCCCGTTGATCTCATTTCCCACTGCACGAAACAGTTAATCTAAACTTTTGTCATCAAGATGTCTTTCACTCTCTGTGTCTTCAGGCGAGGAGTGTCTGACTCTGGCTTTGAAGGGTCGTTGTCAGAACCAGCTAAAGCGTCGCCAAGCCGGGCCAGAGAGGCTGGGTAATGGACATGGTCGGCTGGCCGGTGGGCCGCTGCGCGGTAGTACCATTACCACTAGTGGTGGAAGCCTTCTGGTGGAGCGGGCCGTTGGAGGGCTCTGTGAAGTCCACTTCCTTCCACTGGTGGTCGGAGTCAGAGACAGCAACCGAACGCAGAGACTCAGATGTGTTGGTAAGTCCTAAATCATTCCATGTGCTAAATGCATAATCCAGAGCATATCTATTGCCCCAACACGACTGTCAGCATGGCAAAGGCTGAGCCGGTGGCTCGCAGCTAACAGCGCAAACAACGGCGACAGTGCTGACAGAGGCAGCAGTGTTTGACTGAGGGGGCGACAGAGGAAGGGGGCTAAACTTCTGCGACGATGCTGTGAAAAATTGAAAAGAGTGGGACATAAATGTCTTTACCAAAGTTTATCAGAATAGTGGAGATATTTCCCTCACAAGCAGAAATGTCAACCTGCTGGTGGCACAGGGAAAAGTAAGGTCATCTGGATTCATCCTCTGGGGACCTTGAATATCACTGCCAAATTCCATCACAATGCACCCAATATTTTGAAATGAGTAACAGAATATCCATTTCAAGGATGTCACGACAAGCTCATTTTCGATCAAGTTTTAGATGTGAAGAAAACATAATCACTTGGTTAAATTAGGGTTGTGAAGCTTTATAGGTTGAGTGACATTCTGTTTCACTTTTCCTGGTCGGAGACTTTCTGAGTGAGATGCAGAATTAGTCTCATGTTATGCCAAGACCACCCACACCTGCAGGCTCTGCCAGTAACCTGGGCCTCGTGAGAAAAACTGCTGGGAAAAATGTTATCCTGCTGTTATGGAAAAAACACAGACAATCCATGGGATAAAACCACCAAACCCACCTCTGGCATGCTACACACATGTGGAGATTAAGTATTCCTTCACTGTTGATTGTGCATCCCACTGTCCGTTGAGTACACTAGCATACCCGGTTTGATTGGACCTGGAAAAATTGTGTTGAATGTTTCAGCACTGAGGCTCTGCTTTATTTAGAAGTTGTTTTCAAGACGAGCACCTGTGCACTTTCTGACGTGCCCCCATGCTCCAACAGACCATGCAGAGTTTGCGAGATGCCCTCAGCCACTGCCGATGGGCTCGCCCAGTTTGCCCGTCTCAAGCTGTGAGCTCAATAAAAACACCAGACGCTGCCACCAACAGCCGCTGGCCACTCACCTCTCCTGCCGACTCTACCAGACCTGTGATCACGCTGTGCTCATCTCAGGTAGGACAGTTTGTGTCTGTTTCTTTTCTTATATTTGCAGTTCTCTTATCAAATATTACCAAACAGCCAACACCACAATTACAAAATACAATTTTAATGTAAGCCTTAATATCTTATCCATGGAACAAACAGTCTACAGTATGACATACAAAGGGGTCCCACGTGTCCTGGAGAACAGCTGACAAAACTTTCTTGTCATGGAAAACACATAGAAAACAAGAGGAAAATTCAAATTTCCTGGAAAATTATATAAAGTATCCTCTATTTTCCATTAGCTGAGAATAAGCTAGTCTATCTATCAGAGCTCTCTATATTACCATCTGAAAGGACGAAGTTATGTCTGTGTCACATTAATGTTCAACTGGTAGTTTATGGGCGAGAGTATTTGGAATAGGCGGCCAAGTTGTGGAAACGCTGTGAACACACCCTTAAGTCAAGTCACAAGGTAGCACAGGTTACAATTAAAGTGGTAGAGACTGAATAATATAAATTACATTATCCTTAAAATGTAAATATTACCCACTGCTGGCTGTTTTTTATTATTATCCACGATCAATTTGTCATAATTTCTAAGCGCGTAAGAGATGATTTCACAGATGAATTGAAACCACAGATGACACAAGATTAAATCAGACTTCCACTGAGAGGAACATATTAGTGCATGGCGTCATACCAGCTGCGTACAAATTTCCTGGAAAAGTCCTGGAAAACAATCTCTACAAATAATGTAGGAACCATGACACATCACAAAGTATTAACTCAAAAACTGGGTGGCACTTTATCAGTTCAGATAATATAGTTACCTAAGAGTTTATGTAGTGGAAGAAGATTGTAGTGTTAATAAAAGGCTGTGTGATGAGCTGTGGAAGAGCTGCACTGGGCTAAACAAGGCTCCGGCACCACCCACATGTATCCTCCACCTTCTCCACTTTATATCACTCATTAACTAGCCGCATGTAGCTAATGTTAGGCAGACACAGAGCCTGGTTTCTCTGGAGCTAATCAAAATCAAACAGCTAATAAAGACAGGACTGCTTTGCTGTGTTCACGTTGCCCTCTGAACGTGTGTGTGTGTGTGTGTGTAACTACCTGCAGGCGGCTGGCAGCAGCAGATGACGTTCCAGCGTCATGTTGAGAACCTTCAGAGGTTCTACAGAATGCTGCAGAACAACGGCTTCCACAAAGAACACATCAAGACCTTCTTCGCCAGCAGTGGGCAGCTTCCTGGTAGGAACAGTCAAACTAAAAAAACGTTTGCTTCAGTCTCACTAAACCACTAAATGTAAGTCTAACAATTGCACTTTAAACATTATAACTTGTTCCGTCTAACATGGCATAAAAACACCAACTTCCACTTTCTTTTCTGTGACTTCACTGTTGTTGTTAGGTAGAGCAACCTAGGGCTGGGGAATAATTCACCATGATAACTTATCGTCTTTCAATGGAATCGTACATCGAGATACACAATTACATCGTCAAAATGGATATTTACAAGAACATACTAACTCAAGTTCTCTCAGAAAATCAGATTATTTTGCAGAAATCTCTTAATTTAATGAGAAAATATGCAGTACTTTTCAAGTACTTTTTAAGTATTGAATACACAAGAGAACACAACTTCATGTGGTTAACTACCCGAAAACATGCTATATCATCATATATCCAGTTATGAAATGACCTGTATCCTGATAGAAGATGTTGGACAGATCCCCAAGCCCGGGAGCAATCTCATGTGAATTATTTTCTTAGATTTGAAATCTGACATTTGCATTGAAGCTGCTATGCTTCAAAAAAAATCTCCCTCATATCTGACAAAGTTCTGTCAGAGTGACTTATCATTAGAACAACAAGTTAGGTCTTCAACAAAGTAGCTTGACTCGTGATTGATACCATGTGGTTGTAATGTGAACTTAATCGTTTCTAAACCCATCACAAGTTCTGCAGAAAGTAAGTAATACTCGATGCATTTCATTTCCTGGCCTCCTTGTTATAACAACAAACAAAAAATTCTCTAAGAGAGGAGCAAAAGCAAAGATCAACTTCAAAAGAAACAGAGTTTAGATATGTCAAACAGAAATACGATTTATTGTCTAGTAGACAAAGAAAAGCTGTTTTTTCCTTTGTTTGGGTCCAAAACAGCCAAAGCTCAGATTGGACTAAACCATCTCTACAACATGTCTACCCCCCCCCCCCCCCACAGACGATGTCGAGGGTGTGTACTCTGCAACGGAGAAAGCGATGATTCGTAACCACGTGTCGTACGTCTGCAGGAAGCAGCACTGTGCCGACACGTTGGTTCTCTACCTGAACTCGCCAACGCGCAACGACGGCGCCATGCTGCTGTGGGACGCCAACCTCAACGGCATCGTGAGAGTGACACACGCACATAGAGACTATCGTAGAGAAACGTCACACACACACACAGATACGGACTTGTCTTCAAAGCACATCACCAACACAGATGAGCCGTTATCAGCCTGATAAGACGAATGAATTTCTGTAGTTGTTTGCGATTAATGGCTTTAAACAAGATTTAGAATTGTGTTTTTCAAAATTCACTGGCTGATTGATACCCCCCCCCCCAGGCTGACCTGAAGGAGCGATACTCCGTCAACGAGCTGCTGGCCGACCTGGCCGGCTGCAGGGCGACGCGCGTGTTGCTGTTTGTGGATCAGAGCTACAGCGGCGTTCTGTCCAAGAGGCTGCGAGGGTCCCAGAAACACCTCAACGTGGTTCTGATCCAGAGCCAGACTCGGCAGACCCACAGCCACCAGAGGTTGAACCCTGGCTGGGAGGAGAGCAGCTGGTCCTCCATCAGCCCTGCGAGCTGCCTGCTGGACCACCTGGGGAAGGTAATTTATCACATTTAAGGGTTTATTTTTTTCACTTCTTCTAGATAGTCTTCTAATCACCTCTTTCCCCCGTGATGTTATCAGAACACTGGGACGTCTCGCCTCCTGGAGCCGTGGGCCGGCCTTTTAAACGTGACGCTGGCCGGCGCCCCCTGCAACGCCACGCCGCCTCTGACGGATGGCGAGATGCGGCGAGAGTACCAGGGCTGCCAGAACCTGCCGACCGCCCTCTGGCACCAGAAACACAGGAGGACCAACTGAGAGAGAGAGACACTGAGACCGACTGGGAGAGAGAGAGAGTGGGAAACAAATTCATTATGGACACACACACACACACACACACATACACACACACAGACAGACAAGACACGTGTCTTTGCATTACACACATAACTTATGACTTTAGTTTCAGTGTGTTTGGTAGACACTAGTGTGTGTCTGTGTTTTCTGTCCTAACTCAGACAGTAACCATGGCGATGACAGCTCATCCCAATGGGAGTGTCCTGAACACCATGTGAACCGTGTGTGTGTGTGTGTGTGTGTGTGTTTGTGAGTTCAGCAAGAGGACAACCACTCTGAGACCATTGCTAGCTTATACTGGGGTGTTTGTGTGTGTGTGTGTGTGTGTGTGTACGTCACAGCTCCCTTAAACATTTCAGAGCCAATCAACTTTCTCTCCCTTTTATTTATTTCTTTTTTCTTTCCCTCCTCTTCATCCTCTCCTTTTCGGCTACTTTCCTCCCAACCTTTCCTCTCTTGATATCCTCCCCTAACCTCCTCTCTACTTTAGTTCCTTCCTGCCTCTATCTCATCCTTTCTTCCCCTTCTCCACTTCCCTTCTTTTCCCTCTTCCTTCTTTAATTAAGTGTTTTTTCTGTTTTATTTTATATTTTTTAATTAGCTGTCAGTTTCTCCTTTTCCTTGATCTGAGGGTTGAATACTGGAATCATTTTGTCACAACTGACAAAACCCTAAAGCATTAAAGTTTAGTGCATTTTAGATTCGTGCACAAGAAATGTGAATGAAAATGGTTTGACAAAAAAATCTTAACTCAAAGGCCACTTGCTATCTTTTACCTGCATCTGACAGTTAAAAGCTCCTGAGTTGGTTTATTTATTGTCTAGTGAGTCCACGGTCAAGATAAAATTTCACACTAACACTATCTTTGGACAGCAGGGCGACACATGAACTTCTCAAATCCGTACATCACATTCTAACCTGTTCTCACTCTCGATTAATCAAATAACACAGCTAGATCTGTTCCCCCTCGGCGTCTGATGCTGACGCATGGAGGGAACCTTTAGCAGCCGTATGAAACGCAGCAGGCTTTCAACTAACTCTTATGTAACCCATCGGTTATTAGGCGGTCAGAGCAACTGACAAGTGTGAGGTAATCTACTGAGGGTGGGTCAAACAAACAGGACTTTCACCCAGGAGAACGCTGCCCGAGTCATCAAACACAGTCTTATCTTAATCCTGATTAAGTCATTGTGATGCCTAAACTTCCTGTGAAGACGGACGTTTATTTTATAAAGACACTATGCATGTAACAAGTTTGTATTGACACGCCGTCCCTGACACGTCAAAAACTGACACTAGTTGGGTACGTAGAGCGTCATAGTTTGAGGTGTCGGGCCACTGACCGAAGTCGGGAGTGAGAACGTGTTCCATATTTGTCAAGCAGAACACTATGACTGTTGAAATAAGGTCCCAAATTCAACATTTGGGTCAACCAAACTGTGTCCCATTGTGGTTTACACCTCTCTTAAAACTCTCACAACTTAAGTCCTCAGCTAAGTCCTTTCAAAATAAAAGAAACCAATAAGAGACGGGACATAAACGCAGCTCTTATTGTTAACGGTTTGCAGAGGACAGTTGCTACTCAACCAGATTTAATTTTGCAACAGGGCAACCGACCTGAGTGATGAGACAACCAGACATGTTTTAAACAAATCCAGTTTCATTCTAGTCAACAGGAAACCTACAAACCATACCTGACGTTTGTGTCTGATGTGCAGAAATTTATCTTGAAGATTTTAGGAGATGGAGGACTTTTTAATGCGTCTTAACCTGAAGAAGACGGAGAGAGAGAGAGAGAGACACTGAGACAGCCATAAAACGAGGGACAGAAACTGGTTGGCGGTGATCATGATTAAGATATGAAGCACTGAGACTGCCCTCACTGCTACACAGACTGGCTATGGCATTTTAATAAGGGCACAACTTGCAAGTGTGTGCGTGTGTATGTGTGTGTGCTCAATCGCATAGACAGGCATCACATGAAACATGCACGTTCTAATATTAACCCATCCCTACACTAACAACATCCATGTCGTCCTCTACGTGTGATGGTACTTTGTGATATTTGTCTGTACTTTACATCCTGTCCTTCCTCCATCAGAGTAACCATATATACCACGGCCCAGTGTGCATCCCAGTCCCTCCCTGCTGTGTGTTTGTACCGGTGTCTGTCGCTGTACTGATCTGTTTTACATTAGAGATTTGTTCATTCAAGAGGTGGGAGTTGATCGGGAGAACAACTTTCCAAATGCGTGGGACATTTTGGACCAAAACCGCGTCCAACAGGTTGAAATGTGCATATTCACAGTTGGTGTAATGACCTGTACAGAGTATGAGATGTAATTTAGCAAAAATGTTTCTAGTTGCATGCAGCAAATCACAACATTTAGTCAATAAAGTACGTTTAGAAACCAGTGAAGTACATGAGATTTATTTGTCTGGCTTCCGACTCTAAGCAGTGACCTGATGAGCGCAGGTGCCCTTTCTGTGGAGACCACATCAGGAGAATAGTGCAAAGTAGAGCTATAACTGTAAGCTAAACCTGTGAACATACAAACCTTTCCTGTTTAACTTTTACCACTCAGTTATGAAGATGTGAACTGCTGCCGTGTGACCCAGACGGCAACCTCCAGTTCTGAAAAGTGAAGTGAATGTGGCATTCCTTAACGCTGCATTCTCTCTAGTGTCCACCAGGGGGCGATTCCTCTGGTTGTATAGAAGTCTATGAGAAAATAACTCTACTTCTCTCTTGATTTATTACCTCAGTAAACATTGTAAACATGAGTTTATGGTCTCAATCTCTAGTTTCAAGTCTTCTTCAATACAGCATGATGTTCATTTAGTACATTATGGTCCATTTAGAGTCAAACAGACCATAAAGCAGGGGATTGGTTGGTCGTTACCAAGGTGTTTTCCAAAGTGTTTGCGTCTTACAACTTTAACCCTTTCACATTGTGTTTACGTTCATGAAAGTTAATTGTAAGCGTTTTGATCTCCTAAAAATGTCTTAGTCCGCATTCAGTCGTACTTAGCTCCACCGTGTCACTTCTGGTTGCAAAAAAACCAAGATGGCCAAAAATTCCGAACAAGAGGCTTAAAAAAACGGCAGCCCTCGAACCAATGGGTGATGTCACAGTGACTCCGTCCACTTCTGACCCAGGTAGCTTTAACAAGTGCTCAATAACTTTCAAACTAAGGCTGTTGAAAGCATCCCATCTATTAACAACTGGAGTAAACTCGAAAACATGTTGAAAACGCGCATACATCCACCAGGAGCGTTGGGATTATGCCAGGCACCCTCCTGAAAGTAATACATTTGGCACCTATATGCTTGTAACAATAACTTGAACTCCCTCCACGATGGATAATCAAGACGGGTCAGGATAGCATTAACCTATTTGAAGACATGTTTGCTATAAATGTGCCACTCTAACAGGCCGTATAGTGGAAAAGTCCAGGGAGGAGGATTAAAGCGGGACATTTTCTCTCTTCTTGGATACCAGGACGCAACTAGAAGAAGCCGAGGTCCGAGCGTGTCTCGTTTTTCAGGTGGGGATTTTTGGGGGGGAGATAGATGGGACCCCCCCACCCCCGATTGCCACAAGGTATTTCGCACACTGCATAAAACCGACATGAAATAGCTTAGTGCATATCTGAAAGGAGCTTCTGATGCATGGCAGTCCTGATGTAGAGCCCTTAAAAGTGAAATATTTTATATATTATTTTACAGAGAAACGCTGTGACACAGTTGTTGTTTGAGAAGCTTTTATTGCTAACGAGACTCAGTTACAGCACACCGCCCATCTGTCTTCCTCTTTCTGGCCCTCAGGCTGTTGATATAGATTTACTCTCAACAGTGACCTTTGACACCAGCACTTTCAGCCCATCCAGGATGTTTTCGCCAAAACAATCTCAGTAACATAATCGCTTTTAAACGGATCGGGTGGAATCTTCACAAGCGCCTTGATATTTAGTCAGCTCTTTAGCATCACTGCTATTGTTGTTAGCTGGCTAACGTTGCTGTTTTTCTGCAGCTTCAGTTTCAGTTGTTTCTCTACAGCTGTAAGTACATTCACAAGCAACAGTTTGGCATCAGCAGAGTATTTTACTGGAACAAATGTAACGCTGCATGAAACAGTTAGTACTTTACTGACTCACGTTTTTGCAGGCTGGAGATTCAACACACGTGCAGACTATTTGGTCATTGTCATGCCAGTTATGCGCATGTCAACCAGCGCCACCAACAGGAAGAAAAGCGATAGCAGCAGTAGTTCAAACGCCCAGGCCCATTGATGCTCCTACCGAGAGTCAACGGGCCTCATGCAAGAACCAGTCGTATGAACACATTCGGTCTTAAGCGGCTTGTACGAGTGACTCTGTGAGTACAGAGTTTTAAAAAAAGTTCATACTCGGTTCAGTGTCAAGTGTCTTGAGTCGGATTGTTCATCTGTGTTTCTGTTTGTGTGTCGTGACTTTTCTGCTGTTTCCTCCACATGGCTGCGTACAGACCTCCCCGGACCAGCAGCTCCTCGTGTCTGAACAAAAGGGGAAGACGGGAGGAGACAAGAAGGAAAGTACATCATCAGAAAGGGTGAGTAACTCCTCTCTGCCCTCCTGGAAAATTGCAATACTTAGCACTTGTTTTTCTTTTTTCTTTTCTGGTATTTTCATTGTGATTTTTCTAAAACACAAATTTTAAATGTGGATAAACGTGAGAGGGAAGTCAGAAGAGTTCAAACCTCTAATACTGACCTCTCATCCAGCTGATAAAACTGCAGCTTCTTTAAGTTGTGTGTTTATCATTTGTCGTCCAGATTTTGTTTAAAAAATAGCAAGTGACAGCAAAGAACCCGACTTGTATATCCAAAATGTCAGACCTTTTCTACCAGCTCTTGAATGTAAATTTTAAAGAAAAAGAAAAATGTAGGAGGACAACCCTTTCTCCCAAAAATAAAGTTCCTATATAAATTTTTTTGAGTTTTTGAGTTTTTTTGAGCAGGCAGAGGAGAAGGTGGGTCACTCGTAATGTCT